TGTAGCTTTTAAAGCCGAAAGTCTTTTTAAGTACCTTGTCTACTGTGCTTCTCGTATCTTTGTGCTACTTAATTGCTTGAAAAATCTAGGTTGGAATTCTAGTATACTTTTTGGTTCATCTTCTGTCTTCACTCAAGTATCGAATAGACATCATTGTTTTTACGAAAAAAATGTACAGTGTTTGATAACTGGTTGAAAAGTGTATCATGATTGTCGTTCTGTCTTACCAAGTTTGTCGAAGCTTAATTTGTATGGTTGACCAGTTGAGCATAACCTGAGATAATACTAACCTTTTGATAAGATTTGGTCTTTTTGTGCTTCAAACAGATCAGTTGTGTCATCACTATGATTTCCAACACAAGAAAATTATCGAAAATATTGAGCTTTTTTCTCTTTTTTACCGGATGCTTTCTTGAATAATCAAGCAAATATTGTTTTCTAAATAATTATATTCATAGCAAAAAAAGTTTTTCTTTTGTGGTTGAAATAGATCATCTATTGATGTTTTGGCTTCTTATTTTTATAGTTTTATGAAGAAGCAATTTTCTTCTTCTTTTTAGTGAAACTTATCTTTTATGTTATAGTGATAGGCAGTAAAAACGGTTTTCAAAGTTTTTCTTTTTGATATCATTTTATTTTAAGATAAGAGAGAGCTCCAACAAAATTTTGGCCGAAAAACATTGTTACTTTTCTAAACAAAAAATTTCTGTTTAGTATTTATAGGAAGTATTAAATGGTATTTTTGTTGTATGAAATTAATGAACACTTATGACATTACTGTCCCTAATAATCTTTTTTATTTTTATTTTGATTACAAGAAATATTATCGTTAATGTTTTGCTATTATTATTGTAGATGGAGTATAAGGTTGAAGGTTCAGATACGCTTGAGCGAATAGCAGCACGTTTCGAGTGTACTGTTGGCCATCTGATGAAGCTGAATAAAATGAACTCGAGAATGGTAAAAGTTAAAAAAAAAAATTTTTTTTATTATTTTGCTTACCAGGTTTTTTTATTTTTGTTGGACACGACACTTTTTCAATGCCATCAACTATTACAACTTATTGATGTGAAATGTAAAATGTTATTCTTTTTTTGGTTTAAATTTTGACGCTTATTTTATTTTTTCCGTTTCCAATAGTTTTTTTTCTTCTGCTTTCAACAGTTTTTTACGCTTGGAAACAACTAAAGTAAGACTTAGAATGCAGAAATAAAAGAAATAATGCTGGTTCTCCAATAGCAGCAACATAAGCACTGATATCAACAACAAAATTTAATAAGTATAAGCTGTAACACAAGTAAGAGAAATTTGGGAAAAAACTGTTATTAGCAATAAAACTGATATCAAGATACTGCCATTCGTAGGAATATAATCTTTTTTTATAAAAAATAAAAGTTATAAATAAATGTATACATTTAGATAACGCTATTTTTATTTTATTTCAAAACAGTCTTATCCAGTATCCGCCTTGAGTTAGCATTTTTGCCTATATATATATATATATATATATATATATATATATATATAATATATATATATATATATATATATATATATATATATATAAACTAATATATATATATATATATATATATATATATATATATCTTTTTTCGGTATAAATATTGGAGTTTTTAGATGTTATAACGAAAAACTTTTTATTCGAACTTATTGTTTTCAGGTTTTTGCTGGGCAGACATTAATTGTTCCGTCTCCAATGTCAGACGAAGTTTTTGAAGAATCAAAAGGTTGGTGGTGAAAAGAACGTCATTTGTAACGAATTTTTTACTAAAATATATTTTTCTTTGTTCAGACTTGTTTAGGCGTCGCTTATTCCAGTATTAGTGTGGTTTATATGTGACACTATTTGGATAAGGCTAGATTGAGTAAAAAATGGCAAAAGAAAGTAGATATTTTTAGTGCAAAATGGTTTATATCCTGCACCGGGAACGGCCGTTCAGGTAACGCCTCAGCAACCGGTTAATTTGCAGCAGCACGCTCGAACTGTAACCAAAACACAAAGTGTTCCGGCTGCTGTGCAAAATCAGGTTCCGTCAAGGCAGTCTACAACAGAAGTTGACGTTGATTGTTTACAACGGTTCTTGAAAGTCAAGGTTTATACTGAATTTCCTTGATTTGTTCTTATTGTCGGTTCATTTATGCATAAAAATTTGCCAGCGGTTAGTGGCATTTTGGTCTTTAATCCCGGTGACTGTAGGTGAAAAATGTGACTGAAAAAGACGGAACCGTCACTGGAACTCTGTTAGTAACACCAAATGCGTTAATGTTTGATCCTGATGTCACTCACCCGCTTGTGAAAGAAAATGGTCAAGACCTGTATATGATGATGGCTCCGTAAGAAATTGAATTTTTATATTGTATTGTAAAGTTGATTTTTTTTAGAACGTTTGAGATTGGATTACGTTTTTTTTTCTTTGTTTTTCAGTCTACTTTACTGCTATTTGTATCTTTTGTATGCATGATTTCCGTTGTTTGAAATCATTTTAGCAGTTTTTGATTGTAATTATTTGAATTAATAGGATAAACAATTTTTAGTATGGAAGATATAACGTCAGTTGCCGTATTTAAAGATATTGGAGCTTTAACGGGTGAAAAGGATAAGGATGATATTTACGACCCTGATCATATCAGAAAGCCTCAAGATGCTGTAAAGTTTTCTGAATTATGGAACTGATGAACTGTAGCCAAAATGCTTTCAATGATCGGGAATTGGGATTATTTTTCTTCAAAATAATTTTGGTTTGGATTATTGAGGAAGTTCTGCAGAATTTTTAATTGTGGGATTTATCAATGCCGTAAGAGAGCTTCAGAACTTGAAGTTTTTTTGCCTTTTAGTTGAAATGTTAAATCTACTTTTTTAGGTAGTATAGAGTCAAAATAAAGAAAAAAGTCAAGATTAATTGTGTTTACTTTCATTTACTGCTTTTTTAAGGATCTTGAAGAGACTTTGCCCACTGTTGAGAAGAAAAATAGTGAAGGTAAGATTTGAAATTTTTGAAGTTTTACTTCTGCACAGTACAGCAAATTTTGGTTTTAAACCTTTTCACATATTGTGTACTTCAAAAAGGAACTATGAGCCTGGTTTGTGATTTTTTACAGATACCTGCCATTCACATCTATTAGTTATTTTTTCAGTCTTTAGCTTTGACTGATAACGAGGTTGTTGCCGTTGTAGTTTTGCTTTTGATCAAGTTATTGAAAGTTTAGGCAGTATCTCCCCTCGTATCGAAACCGACGACGGCATTTACGATGGAGAGAGTTCAGGCTCTGCAGAAGACCAGGTATTTTTCTCAAAGTTTGTAGCTGTTTTATATTAGTTTTAGTTTATATGATTTCCATTTTTAATTTGTATTTCATCTTTTATATGTTTCAACGACTTGAAATACCTTCTTTATCTATTTTATTGCTATTATAGCATGGTTATTCGAGGTTGAGAGCATTAGGTGGTTCAGACTCTCAGTTGCCACTTATCGCAGAGGAAGACCAGAAATATGGATTGGATTTAAGAGTCCCCACGACAAATAGGCGCACATTGTCTGATGTTGGTCCTCAAGGAGCACAGTATGAAGGTGATTTAATTTTTCTGCTTGTTAGCTTTTGTCGGACAGGTCTCTTTTAATGTTCATGTTCGTTATTATTTGTTCTTTGTTCCTGCAACATTTCTGAGGTACTCGTTGTTGTCATTTTAGGTGAAGGTGAAACGGCTGCGGATGCGAAATCTCCTTTGAGGTAAGAATAAAATTTTTTTGAAGTTACTTTTTTTTGTTTCGATGATATTTTTAACATTTTAGAAAACATAAAGCTTCCAAACATCACGAAACATCGCCATCAACGAGTAGACATGCGACAAAATCACCTACTGGGACTCGTAATTCGTTGGCTATGTTGAGTAGGACTCTCAGGTTTTACTAATTTTGCTTGAGTCCAGTTTATTTTTTTAGCAAATTATGAATTTATTCAAAAATTTCTTAGAAGCCTGTTTTGTATTGCTCTTCACGGCATTTTATGATTTCGAATAGCTTTTCATTGCGCTTTATGCTGTTACTATGTGTGGATTTTTTTATCCCAAACCTCAGTTGTCAAAAGTTATTTTATTATTTTTTTGTTCAGTATGACTTCGATGTTCAAATTGATTAATCATTTTTTGTTGCAGTGCTCATGCAACTAGTATTAGGGATTCGGCGGAGAAAGTCACTCAGTCTGCAGTAACGGGAACAAAGTCAGTGGCTCATGGCGTCGTGACCCATACTAAATCCGCAGCAGGTTAGAAACCAATATTTTATTTTAGCCTGAACTGGTTTTCCAGCATGTTAATTTGGCAAGTATGCTGGTTGACAGTTTTGCTTCTCTACTGCTCTGTTTTTTTTTTCTATTTCTCTTCTTAGTAAGTTGGCTTTTTAAATAACTTTTTCTGAAGTTTTACATAACTGTAGGGCTTAATAATTTGTATTTTGCTATAATATGTAAGATCTCACTTTTTTTCATTATTTGTATTTCTTTGTTAGGTAAACCGCTAAGATTTACTGTTTTTAGAAACATTACATACGGGTATACAGTCGGGTGCAAAACTAGCTGCTTCTCATGCGAAAGTTGCTGTTGATGCGATGGTTTCAGTACCTCAGGGTCTTGTCAGTATAAGTACAGGTTTATTTGCAGATACGCAACAGGGTATCGCCGATCTTGTTGAATCTGCCAAGGTTTTCTTTTCTGTTTTTGATTAGTTGCTGTTTTAGACTAGTCTTTTGTGTAAATATCATTGCAGTGGCTGTGTTTGTTGTGACTTTGGTTTTTTTTTGTTATTTAGATTCATTAGTTTAAAAGGCAGACATCTGATTTGAAAGTTATTTTTTTAACTTGATTTATATTACTGTTTACTTGGTTGGATCAATATGGCCAACTTTAGGATACGCGCGCTGTAGCTACTGTTCGTAGACAACAAAGTTTGGCTACTCTGGAAAACCTGAAACAGCGTACTTTACAAGCTCGTGAACAAGCAAGCAAAGAACGAGAAGCTGCTCTGTAAGCTTTCAATCACTTTTTTCTTCGTTGTTTGGCATTTGGTAAAAAGAAGTATGAAATTTACAGAATAAGTTGGTAATCTTTTTGTAGTGTTAATTTTCTATGGCCGTTTCTCTGCACAAGGAGAAACTTGAATCAATAGGACGTAGGGTTCAACAGTACATATTACGATTCTGAGGATAGTTGATTTAACTAGTATCAATGGTGCTTCTGGTGTTTAAAATGATTTTTTTTAGTGGTTTGTATCTTGAACGCGGTGTATTATTTAGTAATTCGTAAACGTATCTGTCATCTCTGCTAAGCAGAAACCTAGTCTTGAATTCATTTATTAGTTAGAAACTTCTCAAATGTTACTGGAAGTGTTGTCGTTTTGTTCTATCACGATTTTTTCCTTATTTGTTTATTTCTTTTTTTTTCTCGAGAAAAAATTTTACTGACCATATTTTTGAAAACCATCGATCCAGCTTCTCACTTTTTTTCTTCCAAAAAACTAAAATTTGGAAATTTGGTTTCAGTCTTTTCATCTCTGAAAAATAAATTTAAGAAGTTGCTACTCCGGTTTAATTTTTGCTTTTTAGATCTGTAGGGGTTCTTTTCAAAGTTTGTGTGGTATTGATTGTTTATTTTTTTTTTTCTTCGTTTCGTTTTATTGGCTAAGAGTTATATTTTTTAGATAATATTAGTTCATTACTATCTTAAAAAAATGTAGCTTTTTTGTGATTTGGAAAGTACTCTTGCAAGTAAAAGGATATCTTTTATCCTTTGATCGGCTTGCTAGGAATCTTCTTGATTCAAGTTTTTTGCTTTTTTTTTTTTTGATATGGAAAGCAGTAATACTAAAATATTTATCACATTCAAAGAAATTTTATGTAATTTACAAGTTTTTACTACACATCCGCTTCTGCAGCAGTTAGTTTTGAGAAATTATTGGTAATTTTCTGAATTGCGATATCAGCTGAGGCCTTCGAAAAATTTTTTCAAAAAGTGTAACATTCTTACATTTTTTCTGATTAGAAACAGGTTTTTTCTATTTTTGGAATTAGAATCAGCGTGACATAAAAATG